CCGCCCCCCCCCTCTCCCCGCCCAAAAGCCTACTAATAAAACCGCACATGGCTGGCGGACACACGATAGAACACGCGCCCTTCCGACGCACACGCCAAATCAGCCAGCCTGCGTGTGTGTGCATGTCGGAAAAAGGGACAAACAACCAACACAAGAAAACAAAAAAAAGCCGAAACGTACGATAAAAAATCCCACAACGAAAAAAAAAATGTCTCCCACTAGCATTAGGTACAGTCAAAGTGTCCCTCCCCCCCACACGCCCTCGACAAAGCATCATTGCGCCACGTTGCACGGTAGACACAGCAGTTGAGGAGCGCGACACAGGGATCAATCTGTTCCGTGCTCCTCCCGCGCTCCCGTACAAAAAAAAAAAAACGGCCTTGTTGTCCGACAACACATTTCGCGCGCCAATAACCCCAAATACAAACCACTTGGCCTCTTGAGATGACTAATCCCAGGCAACCTCCCCCCGCATCCAAAGATAGAAATACTCCACCCCTCTTTCACTCGCCAGAACATCTTAACGTCTGTGCAAGTCAACAACACGCCGGACGGGTTCTCCTGTTGAATTTTTTGGGGCGCTGCAACAGAACGCGTAAGTTTGGTGTCGGGGAATGGTATCTCGCACACGCCCGTCAGGGGCGAGCCCCCCCCCCCCCCCCCCCCCCCCCCCCCCCCCCCNCAATGCCCGCGAAAAAGCGGCGGGCAAACTCACCACCTACAAACCTGGTACGATACGATAACAATCGCGAACACGCCTTTTTTTTTTCTTCTTGTCCGTTTTTCGCGCCTGCGTAAGAAAACCGTAAAATTTTTCATCCCAAAACCACCAGCTAAAAACTTCAATTGGAGAAATCGAACCTTTCATTTCTTGCTTTCCGACCTCTCCTCCCTCTGTGCTGCAGCTGCTTCTCTTCGCAAACTTCCGAGCCAAAGATGGTATTCCCGCCAACTCAACAAGGAGAGGGGGAGGGAGGCCAACAAGATAACAACGAAGTCTTCAAGCTGACCATTGATCATTCTTTACTCGCTGCGCCACTTTCCTTCTCTTAGTCTCTCCATTGCCCTTGGTAGCCCCCCCCCCCCCCCCCGGCGCGCGCCTGCCTAGGCGGGACCTTACACCACCGAGAATAAAAAAAAAAAAACGA